AAACCATGAAGCATGTGCATGAATATGCTGATGCAGGCCTTAGGACCCTTATACTAGCCTATCGTGAGCTACATGAAGAAGAATATAAGGAGTTTGATGAGAAATTTTCTGAAGCCAAAAACTCAGTCAGTGCAGATCAGGAAACACTAATTGGTGAAGCATCTGATAAAGTTGAGAGTAATCTAATCCTCCTTGGTGCCACTGCAGTAGAGGACAAACTCCAGAATGGGGTGAGTTAGAAAAATACCTCATGTTTCTTACATAGGCGAATATTTATCAACTAGAACAGGACCTAAAACGATGCCTCTCTCTCTTTTTTTCTGGTTAGGTTCCTGATTGCATTGACAAGCTTGCTCAAGCAGGAATTAAAATTTGGGTTTTGACTGGGGATAAAATGGAGACTGCCATCAATATTGGGTATTGTATTGTGATCATTCCACTTTGATGTTGGCCAGAGTAACTTTGCTAGATATCTGACATTTTTCTGTATAAAATTGCAGTTTTGCTTGTAGTTTGCTTAGACAAGGAATGAAGCAAATTATCATTCATCTGGAGGCTCCAGAAATTCAAGCATTGGAGAAGGAGGGGGACAAAATTGCCATTGCCAAGGTAAAACAACATTTAGATCTTTACTTAGTTCTTGTGAACATGTGGTTTGCATATGGAGCACTGAGTTTTGTTCCTCATCATCAAAGATGCAATGCAAGCTTGCATGCCTCGACTTATAAGATGTTACTCTATGCTGTGATAGATTTTCTTCCTTTACTCTCTTAACTTCCTTTTGTTTTTTAACCATTATTAAGCTTTCAGTTAAAAGATAGTCTCCTGATATCTCTATGCTGATTCATCTTTTAAGGCATCAAGAGAAAATGTCCGTCGTCAGATATCTGAAGGCACCACTCGGCTTACTGCATCCGGTGGAACCTCTCAGCAAGCATTTGCTCTGGTTATTGACGGAAAATCTCTTGTTTATGCTCTAGAGGATGGAATGAAGAACATGTTCCTGGAGCTTGCAATTGGCTGCGCATCTGTTATCTGCTGTCGCTCCTCACCTAAGCAGAAGGCACTGGTATGTTTAGATCTGCCTTTTCCCATCCTCTATTCTTTCGAGAGTATGCCATCATTTATGTCAGTTCTTTAAAAATAATTTCTTTTTACTGGTTTCTCCCTTGAAGGTCACTAGACTGGTTAAATCTGGAACTGGAAAAACTACATTAGCTATTGGTGATGGAGCCAATGATGTGGGGATGCTTCAAGAGGCAGATATAGGGATTGGAATCAGTGGTGTTGAAGGAATGCAGGTACACGGATAGTCGTCAAATTTTGATCAGTTTTCCCTTCCATTTGATTTTCTAACAACCCTTTATTTTCTAACCTATACCAGGCTGTTATGTCTAGTGATGTTGCAATTGCACAGTTCAGATATTTGGAACGGTTACTACTTGTGCATGGACATTGGTGTTATCGAAGGATATCATTGATGGTATTGCCACTTTCATATCTGTTTCCACATTATAAAAATTCAACTTCTAAACGATGATGGTTAGCTGTTGTTTTGATGATATATTGACTCTTTCATCCCTCTTTGGCAGATATGTTACTTTTTCTACAAAAATATCACGTTTGGCTTCACTCTATTCTTGTATGAGGTGTATTCTTCATTCTCCGCACAACCTGCATACAATGACTGGTTTTTGTCTCTCTATAATGTCTTCTTCTCTTCACTCCCTGTGATTGCCCTCGGTGTATTTGACCAAGATGTCTCTGCCCGCTATTGTCTTAAGGTAAGCTAATAGACTGTTCATTTCTTGATCTGAAGTCATGCCTAACAATCAAAGATATATTTATTAACTCACGCTCATCCATAAACCCGGTTAATATGGCAAAATACTTGATTGGATTTTGATGGGCATATAACAGAACTATAGAGAGTAGCATGTTGTTCCAACATAATGACTAGTACATGTATTACATACAATAAAGGGAGAATCCCAAAAAAATACCTCTAAAATTGCAAAATCTCAAATCAGGAATGACTACAAAAAATATGTTGTCATTTGTTTTTCAAATGCTGTCAATTATTATTAAAGTATAGTGAACAAGACTCGTTTTGGAATTTTGAGATTTAAAGGTATTTTTTTTGGGATTCTCCCCACAATAAACCCCGCTTCTTGACTTTTTCTTCAGTAAGACATACTGCTAGGGATTAGCTCATTTAGTGGGAGATATGGCGTCTCTCTTTGGCAACCCTGGTTCAGTTTTTCTAGGGAGCATTCAGGAAGTAAAATTCTGAATAAACCAAATCAATGTACATCTTTAAAGTGGCTCAAGGGGAGAACTTATTTTCAAGTGCATCGCTTAGGAATAGAAGTATCATTTGGGGTTTCCTGGCATGTTCCTATGCTGATCAATCAATATTTCCAATGTGGCAGTTTCCTTTGCTGTATCAAGAAGGAGTACAGAATGTCCTCTTCAGTTGGCGCCGTATATTCAGTTGGATGCTAAATGGATTCGTCAGTGCCATAATAATCTTCTTCTTCTGCACAAAAGCAATGGAGCTTCAGGCCTTTGAAAAGGATGGACGAACTGCCGGGAGAGACATCCTTGGAGCAACAATGTATACCTGTGTTGTCTGGGTTGTGAACTTGCAGATGGCACTTGCCATAAGCTACTTCACCTTGATACAGCATATCTTCATCTGGGGTTCCATTGTTTTTTGGTATATTTTCCTTATGATATACGGAGCAATGAATCCTTCATTCTCCACAAATGCTTACAAAGTCTTCCTCGAAACTCTTGCCCCGTCACCTTCCTTCTGGCTTGTGACATTCTTCGTGGCAATCTCAACTCTCACTCCATATTTCTCATTCTCAGCAATTCAGATGAGGTTCTTCCCATTATATCATGAAATGATCCAGTGGGTGAGGCATGAAGGGAAGACCAATGATCCTGAATATTGTGACATAGTGAGGCAGAGATCACTGAGGCCAACAACCGTGGGTTGCACAGCTCGTGTAGCCGCTAGAAACAGAGCTTCTAACCATAGATAATATGTTTTTCATCCGTCCAACGTTATAGTTTGTCTGCATCAGCATATAAAACTTAGGTGAAATTCTTCCTCTACCTGCTATTAGATTCTTCTGAATAAATATGGTATTGGGCGAGCCATTTTATAAGAGGTGATGAAATTGTAGAGTGAATATCCATGTATCATATCTTATTTAGAGGTTCCACCTAAGTTTTGTTTAGTGGATCTTTTCCCACTCAGAAAAGTATGGTTGCTTCAATCCACTTCCACAATGAGGCATAGATAAATCATTAGCTGTGAAGTTGGTTGGAAGAAGTGGACTGTGTATTTACCCCTTTTCTCCCCATTTGAGGCTTCTTAGCATTTGATTTTTTTATTCAATATTTTGTATCATAAGAGATTTTTAATGTATAGAGAAACGTATAGTTTGTATAGAATTGGATAGAGTTGCTTTTAGCTGTAGAAAACAGAGCAGAGTTTGCTAGTATCCTTGTATTTCTATTTTTATTAATCAGCTTGTGAAGACCCTTCACTACTCATTTTTGTTAATTACTAGCTTATAAGAAACATCATTCGCTTAACTACTTTGTGTAGTTTAATGAAATTAGTTAAAAGTAGTTATTTGTAAAAAAGCTCTGTATAATATTTTAAAATTATCTTTAATCAAATTGAGATGAAATAGAATAAGGGGCAGTGAAAAAAAAAATCCCTTTTTTAAAAATGAGTCAAAAATGTATTACTCTTCTAATTTTAAATATAAGATCCCTTTTGTAGTGTAAATTATACTACAAAATGAGTCTTATATTTAAAACCGGAGAAATAGTATTCATTTTGTAAAAGGTTTTATACCAGATGTTATCAGAAAAAGCCGGTTTTAAGTTGAAATGACTACACATTTATAAAATTTTATATTTTAATAATTTTTTTGGATGAGAGAAATATTTCCTAATTTAATTATTCATATGATACTTTTTTTTTCAAAAATGATTTTTTCATTTGATTGTAAAAAAGCTTTATGTTTAATGTTAAACGCAGATAGAATTGAAAGCTCCCAAAAATGACTATTAACAAGTGCCAATAATTGGTGTCAAAAGACCACCGGGACAAATAAGTAATAAATTTCCACTCAATGGCTCCGCCTCATGTTTAGGTCCTAAGGTTTTGACTTCTCCAGATGAAGACAAAGTTATAGAGCTCATACCTCTTTCATTCATCGGAGAGATCAAGAAAAATAAATAAATAAATGTAATTTTATAACTTCCATTGTTTTTTTTTTTACCTGTTATAACTTCCATTGTTATTACTTGTGATTATGACAACTTACAGAGTAGTAACCCTCTGGAATCTGGTCTTTATTACAAGTATTCTTTTAACTAAATCTTATGTATCAATGAATAATAATTAAGTAATTAAATAGTCTTAAATTCATGAAATTTTTTTAAGATTATCCTTTTTAAATTGTTTTTTTCCTCTATATTTATAAATCATTTTTTACCTCTTTATTCTCTTCCTCTCTTCTTCCTCCGAGCAAGAATTAAAAAAAATAAAATTAAAAAAATCATTAATAACTTTCTAAATAAATATATACTTGGGACCAAAAATTTTTCTGTAAAACAATTATAATAAAGAGGGGAATGAGTTGTCGCTCAGAAAATTTTTTTAAAAAAAATAGACACATAAAAAAAAAAAAAGGGAACCACACATCACGTTATTTAATCCATATATATATAGGATATTTTAGGACCCACTTGTCTTGTTAAGTAAGCTCACCAAACACCTACTAAATATGTACAATTAATGGATGTTCAAGATTTGTTTTAAATTCATCAATTTATTAAGATAGTTGTTTTTGATTGATCAGATACCACAAAAACCGCCAGTAGAACTTTAGCATCAAATCTCTGTTTCAAAATTATATATTTCTTGGATGTTTGGTTTTGTACTTGCCACAAGTAAGCATTTTCCCCTGTGCTTTCAAGGAAATTTTAAGTATTGAGCTCCTTGAATTAAGCATTTACCAGTAAGCATTATTACAAGAGAGAAATAGAGGTAATTTAATATGACTAAGTGATAAAACTACAACTGAGGAGAATTTAAAGCACAGACTAAAAGCTAATCTAATCAAAAACTACAAAGGAAGAAGATGGGTTTGATTGTTTGATTGATACTCTGTTTCAAGTTTTGAACATCAGATCTTGTTCATCTTTTTTCTTCCCATTACTTCCATGGTGCCTGAAAATCCACCTCCAACTCTTCATGCTTCTTCTTCCTCTCTTGATTCCTCTGTCATTTACAGTGATCCTACATGATCCTCCACTGCTTAAATCTCCATCTCCATCGTTGCCCATGAAAGTCCCACACCTTGTGCTCCCGAATGCAGATAGGCTATCGCTCAATTTTGCAGATGGATACTCTGGTTTGGATTCTGAAGAAAAATCGAGCTTCAAATCTATGAATCTTGACTCGTCCATGCCTTTGAAATCGCTCTCTCTGAGTGAAAACACGCGTCTGTTTACCCCATAGAATCCTGCATCAACATCCATGAATGAATCTCTCTTCTCGCCGTCGTACCCACTCCTTCGAGGCTCTGCTTCACTGTAGCCGCTTCTTCTTCCAGATTCCAGAAGCAGACCGCCGTTCACGCCGGAGCTTCTCGCCGCAGAAATGGAGCTCCGGGCTCCTGATAAGATCGAATCGCCCCCATCTTCGGATCCGAATACTCCACCGTTTCTGAAACTACAGAGAGATCTGGACCTCGAGACGCCTCCGTGATCGCCCGCCCACGTGTCGCTCTTCTCATCGAATCCGCCATTAACGCTTCTTCCACAGTCCTTTTCTTTCTTCTTCCTAAACAATTTGCCGATTCTCCAGAACTTTCCACTCCGCTTGAGGTCGACGCTGTTACTGCTGCTCCTCCTGAGAATCACGAACTCATCCGCTTTATCCTGCAATTTAGGTTTAGAATGCGGAATCAAGGTCTCGTTCTTCTCGTTCTCGATCAGGAAGGAAACTCTTCCGACGCTTCCGACCTCAACAGTACAAGAATTTCGATTGGGAGAGATCTCAGAGCAAGAGCAAGAGGAAAGTCTTTGTTCCCCACAATCAGAGCACACAAGCTTCACCAAACGATCTTTGAGACAATACGCGCAGATACCCCCCGAAGAAGAAGAGGGATGCTTCTTACAGGGAAGATCAGAGGTAGAATAATACTGATAATCCATCAAGTCATTATCGTGATGGTAAGCCGCAGCCTCAACGCCTTTGCTTCTTCTCTCTTTCATGGCTCCCAAAAACCCCCAAAAAAAAGTTTAAAAAAACAGGGTGAGATCAAAAACAGGGGTGGCCTTGCGGGAAAAGAAGGAATGAATGAATCAAATACGAAGAACAAGGAAGGAAAGTGAAAGCATAAAGAGGAAAGATGAGATTTTTGTTTTTTGAGAGAAAAGGAAGGTGGTGGTGAGGTGGTGAGTAGTACAGAAGAGAGGCGTCACCTTTACGTTTGGCAAGCAGGAAAAAAGGGAGCGAGAAAAAGGAGCAGGAAGAGAGAGAGAGAGAGAGGATGATGCAGGCATTATTATGAAGGTGTAGGGAAGGGGAGGGAGGGAAAGAAGGAACAGGGGAATGACTATGAGAGATTGTTGAGTGAGTGAGTGAACAAACTCGTCATGACTTGCTTGATGAAGTCGAGAAATGAATGAATGCAATATACTTATTCTTAATCTCTGCATGCAAATGTACCATCAAATCAGAAGAACCCTAACCCCACCATACCCAAAGTTGCTAACTTTGAAGAGAAAATCAAACCCCCCCCCCCCAAAATCCCTCCTTTTGCCCCAAGTCATCCTTAAATCATGTCTTAATTCTCAAACACCACGCTAGTCTCTCTCCCTCCAACTAAAACCTCTCCCCATCCCATGAATTGTCATATAAAAGCAGAGTCTGTGAATTTGGTTTCACTTATAACCTCAAACCATTACTCTGTAATGGGTAAACATTAACAAGTCATGCCCTGCACAAACGCAGAACTAGGAAGATCTGCAATGCAGTGAGGTCTCCAATTTCCATCCGGGGCAATTGCTGGACGTCATTGTGACATGGTGATTGGACACGTGTCCCACCGACAGAAGGGGTGGGGGATTATTAAATTGAGGGGGGGTGTGTGGGGGAGCCGTACAGTTCGAATGGGGAGTGCGTGCACGTAGTGGCTTTTAGAGTGAGGGAAGTGAGAGTGAGAGAGAGAGAACTTTGATGTGATGCTTGGCCCAAACGTTTCCCATGTTGTAGCGTGCCGTATTAGGTTTCCCTCTTCATCCCACCCCGTCCTTTCTTTTCCTTCCTAACCTTCCTTCCTTCCTGCCCGGCCCCTTCTTCTTCTACGCAATTCCCTTCCATTTTGTGTCGCCAATCAGTCCTTATTTTACCAATTCCTTTGGCTGAGAATCACTTTTTTTTTTTCCCTCACCAAATTATATCCATCCCCTAGTTTTATGTTCAAAGTTGCAAAATTATACCACTAAGTTTCTCTCTCTAAATTATTTGCAGGGTAAAAATTCATTTTTAAATATAAATCACTTATAGAATACTACTTTCGATCCTAATTATAAGACTTCGTTTGTAATTTATAAATAAGATTTTATAATTAAGATTGGAGATAGTAACTAATAACTATTTTCTAATTTTACTCCATTTAGTACGAGAAAATGGGTGAGAGATAATGTACAACATATCTTTTTTCAATATCCTTTAAACAGAGGTAAATGTGTAAACTTCTATAAATTTAATATATTTCTTGATATATAAGAATAAGATACAAGGGACTCATGTATAAGAATAGGGTGATCACTTTTAATGTATTTCTGGCATGTTACTGGTTGCTAAGAGCTAACACAAATCTTTTTCTTATTAAGTGCCTTGGGATTGATTATGAAATACACATGAAATTATGAGGATAATCAAGTAGAGGTAACATTCAAAATGGCCATGTACAAGACAAATAAGTTGACGACGTTTATATATATATATATATATATATATATATATATATATATAAGGAGTGGTGAAAAATTGTGTAAAAATTTGAACACATAACAAAGAAAACAAGTTAAGGCATCGACGGAGAAAGTTGAAGGGTAACAAATAAAACATGAATAAGGTTTGTTATTGTTGTTGGTGCTATTCAGTATGATTCAGTGCAGGTTAATGTCAATATGGTTTTTCCTTTTAGGTATAAAGGGATATGGCCAACTCTACTTTAGTGAAAGAAAAGATCGAATGGGACGTAATGCAGATTAAGGAAATCTTTGATAAGCGACATGTTCACACCAAAGGTCGATATAAATTTGTACTGCAATTCCTTCATTTGCGGGTAATTAATTGTCTGGATCAGCCTCATTGGACGACTCCAGTTTTTTAGTCAACGAATCTACTAAGTATCATCTCAATCAATACACACACACACACATTTGATTAAATAATGTGTATTAATATCCAAAGCTTATCAAAGAGCGATTAATTATATTGCTGATTATTTATAATTGGATTTTGGAATAATGGAATAGTATTGTTGTTTGAGGGGGATGAATAGCCATGGATCTTTTGAAGCACATAGAGGTGTCAAGTTTGAATTTTGAGGACGTTGCATGATGTCTTGAAAATGTCTCTTTGGTGGGAGGAAGAGAGAGATATTGATGATTATGAATGATTATAATAATTAATTATTGAAGAGGCTAAGGTAGCTTCTTTCTTCATTTTCTTCCATGAATTCATCAGACGAAGCTAGCTGACAAAAAAAAAAAAAAAGCTGATCATAATAAACAAAGTCAAATGCATTTGAGTGGCTTTATATGTTGTCCCTTGTCTTTCATTCCTTCTTATTGCTTCATTCCCATGTTAACGGTCAAAGCACCTACGTCACAGGTGCAAATTACATTTCGTTACCCAAAAGTTTATGAATTCCAAAGTTACATTCATTTTGATTTTGTCAAGAGAACTTGGTTGTGTGTGAAGTGTGAGCTCATGTATTTCTTGTAATGCCAATGGCTTTGTAGCTATAATCTAGTGATATATAAAAGCTCATTATATGAAAGATCGTGATTTCAATTCTGCCTATAATCTCGTTAGTGCATGTTCTTCTAAATTAAAAAACCACATAACCCTTATCATAAGATTAGAGTTTCAAGTTTATCAAGAACGTTTGATAAGTGAAAAAAAATATATTAAAAAAAGAAATTATAAATTTTTCTGGGAGAAGTAAGCGATGGCATCTCGAATAAAATTGTTTTTAATGAAAAAATACATATGGATAGTAAAAAAAAAACTCTGCCTTGTTAAAACATTACTAAACATATCAAATAATTGTAAATAACTCAAATAACTTCAAGAAAACACCCGCACATAAATCAGTCAAAACTTAATTAGAGTTGAAGAATCTAGGTAGAATTAAATAATAGAAATTAAAAGGAGGGTTTAGTTAATAAATCTCAATGTTAACACTCGGAAAACAAAATTTGACCAAGCTTGGTGATTGAATATAATTATTATAATATCTATATATATAAAGTGGGGGTGTCAGGCAAAATATATATATATATATAAAGTGGGGGTGAATGAATTAATGGAATATGATTGAATATATGTGTGTGTATATAGGGATTGACCAAAAAATATATGTATATAGGGATGGATTGATGCCAAAAAAAAAAAAAAAAAGGGATGATAATGGTTGTTTGGCACGCTGGAAGCAAAGCATGCAAAATGGGAAGCATCATTGGGACAAAAGGCAGCAAAACAGGAGAATGAGGCCTTATGTTGGAGTGACAAGTGAGTGAAGAATATGTTGTAATTTTAATTATTATAATTAATTAATTAATTTAAAATATTATCCCAATCATTATGTCCCCTCCTTCCTCATTCATTATTTTGTTGTTTCTCTCATCAATATGGTTTTTCAAATCATTTGGGTGCCTAGTCTGATGCAGATCCACTACAAAAGTGATCCCCTGCCAAAATAAATAAATTACACTAATATTGCTGCTACTCTTTTTTTTTACTATATACTACTAATATTTTCTATAAATAGATCTGATAACATTTTTAATTCTAAATTTTTCATCTTTAAGAACCAAAGTTATTGATAAATTATAAGGGATTTATTACTCTTTTCGTAAAATAATATATTATAATATAATATTTTTTTAATAAATTAATTTAGAACTTACCAGTAATGTTCTTAATATTTTAGATTAATTATCTATTCAGTAATAAATTTAATTCTTCAAGATAGATATTTACTTTTTAAGATCTTCCAGTTTATAAATTATAAACAGCTGGTTTTTTAACTTTCCAAAGATGGTTATTTTATGCTTCCCAAATTTAAAATAATTTTCCAGGAAAAATTATGTATTGATGAAGATAAAAATGTTCCATAAAAATGTAAAAAGTATATTACTACTATTAATTAGTAAAATAATTTTTTGTGTAAGAAAAATGAAATAATTGTATATTTTAAAAATAAAATAAAACTAAAGTGTGTAGTAGATAAATAAATAATTTTAAGACGTGTGCTTTTGGAAAAGAATGAGAAGATTTGGTTGGGTTAGCAGCTTTTGTTTGAAATGAGCTAATGATTAAGTGCAATTAACCTACTAACTTATGGCCATGTTGCCTGTCTGACATGCACCTCCCTTGGGCCCCACTGCACCCTAATCTCTCTTAATATTGCTTCAATTTTTTATCAATGAAAAAAATATTAAACCACTTTAAAAATTAAATTAAATTATATAATTTTGATTTTGTTATGCCTCTCAATAACTTGATAGATGGAACACAAAAATATAAGTCTGATGTTTAGTCCCTAAAAATAAACAATACTATGATTTAGACTTCGTACAAAACATGGGCCTATAATTTAATTAGTAAAAAAATATATGAAACAATAAAATTTGAAATGCAATAAATATTTAAGAGTAAATTGATATATTGATTAAATAAAATGATGAATTTATTTCTGTTGTGAATTAAGGTTTTGCTTGTTTTAACCTGAAATTAAGTTTTTTTTTTGGTTCAACACCCATTAAATATTAATGTTTAGAATTCAAATTGTGGCGATAGAAAAATAATAATAATAATATGGTGAGAGCCAAAAGTCGTTAGAAAATATCTCTTTCTTATAATTTAGAAGGAATGTCCAAAAAAATACATTTGAATTTTAAAATTTCAAATTAGTCTTATTCACTACATTTTATTAACAATTAATAACATTTGAAAAGCAAATAATAACACATTTTTGTAATCATTCTTAATTTGAGTTTTTAAAATTATAAATGTATTTTTTTTAAGATTTTTCCAATCAAGATGGAAATGGAACATAGGATAAGAGAATGTTGTGAAGTCTGCATAGAACATGAGTTTGTTTCAAAGATTATCCAGGGAATAGTGGAATGTTTTGTTGATGAAAAGTATATATTATACATAATTATTCATATGATAAAAGATTAATTATGATGTCCAAATCTGATTAGGGAGAGAGGATGGCTATATGAAGATGATGGAGTAATCCTCATTTTCAGTAATCACCAAAACCGAATCCCAAGACCATGTTCTCCAAAGAAGTAAATACAAGAGGAGGGTCAATGTGAAATTTAAAAATATGTTTGGTATATGTATGCAATTACTCATCATGAAAAGATAGAATAGATCTGAAATGTATAAATTTGAGTTAAAATATTAATATACTACATCTGGTCCTTAATATAAGACCTTGTTTGACTTTTATTTTGGTTCTAAATATAAAACCCCAATCCACTTTGTTTATCATATTTATACATTTTTTTCAAAGTAATCCTTCTAACAATGATAGTTCTAGTCAATACACTTGATTATCAAGGATATTTTAAGAAAGACAACACCTATTTAGGACAAATAACTAGCTCAACTTACTTCTTTAATCTCCTCAAATTAGTCAACTGGCTCTTATATTAGGACCGGAGGTAGTATATTTTTCTAAGTATAAGTACCCTCCTATTAGATAAAATCCTGTTCGAGATACTGTCAGGCACCTCTCCAATGAGACTTGAATTTTAGTTCATTACGTTATAAGAAACTAGTTCTATTCGCTATATCTAACTCTTATTGATTATATTTTATAGATATTAAAAGAAGAATATAGAACAAAGATATAGTCCCAACTCCTAATATTGGACCTCACTTTCTAGTGGGCCAAAACTTAACCATGACACTGAAAATAGCTGCCACTTTTACACAAGCCCATTGGGCAGCGAACCATGTCCTTATACTCAATTAACCTTACTTCTACCCCCCAAAACAAAAATTCTAACATTATTTGGCACAAGAAAGAAAACAAATTTACCTAAGTCTAGTTGGTAAAAAATTAGCTCATAATTCATAAAATTATAAGTTCAAATTCTACTATCGATATGAGAACCTTATTTATATGCAAACTATAAATACCTTTATAAATGGCAATATGTGATGTTTTATTGTAACTCATGCATATATTGTATTCTTTACAAAAATTCAAACTTGTAACCTTGAGTTTAAAAAAGACTTTTCAATGGTAATTTACAGAATACAAGATAAGTATATGAGAGAAATTTTGTCTCGACTTACATGAAACATGCTTAAAGAAAATTTTCACCATGATCCCAAAACAGGCAATTAAGAGGTGTGGTTGATGTCATTGGACTTTTATTATATTTGTGCTCTCATCTCCACTACTTAGGGGGTGTTTGGCAACCTCCAAATTATGGTTTCAAAAGCACTTTCTGAAAAACGAGGCAAATTCCTCCACATATTTACTTCATAAACCGTAAAAACACTTCTAAAATCATGGTTTGGTTTCTATCCAAACACCCCTTAGTATAAAAACTAAATAATTAATTTATGAATATTAAAAAATTAGTTAAATAAATTATTTGTAATAAATAGATGTTATCTTTTTTGAAATAATCTTATTAATTATGTGCATCTGAATTACCCATTCAATCCTTATTACTAACTTTTTAACATGTGCAGTTGTTATAAGAATTATTTAAGAATAAAATAAATAAATATTAGAGATAAAATATATTGAGTTTTATATTTAATACCAAATTGAATCTCTATTTAGCTCTTAGATTAAAAATAGGGAATAGTATACAGTTTATTAGTGATACATAAATATTTCATTAATTTTTTTGTTGGTGTAAATGTTTCATTTACTTATAAATTAATATTTTTTATTTTAAATATTACTGCTTTTAAAACTTGCTAGTTTTTTTTAACCGTTCTTAATATAAAACTTTATTTAATTTTTATTTTGGTTGTCAATATAAGATCTCAATCCAATTTATTTATCATATTTAGCTATTTTTTCTCAAGATAGTTATTCTATTAATAGTAATTTTAATCATAAACTTGATTAGTAAGGATATTTAAAAAAATAATATTTATTTATTATAAGTAACTAAATTAACTTATTTTTTTTAATCTATTAGTTAAGTAGTGGCAGTGTATGTTAGGGAGTATTTGGATAGAAACCAAACCATGGTTTCAAAAGTGCTTTTATAATTTACAAAATAAATATATAAAAAAATTTGTCTCGTTTTATAAAAAAGTGTTTCTTGAACCATGGTTAGAAATCATAATCGGGTGCGGTTAGATAATTTGACTACTGACACCTCAATCAACGACGTACCCTCAATACCCCGGATGATTATAACCCACCAAAAACATTGGAGTGCGAATATGGCAATGAGATAACCAGAGGCGTTTCACTTCACCACTCCGTTTTATCCTACAAGCTTGACCTGAGTCATCTCCATGATTCCCCTGAAAGCTTCTCAAATTTCCGCTTCGTTCTCCATTTCCAGAGCTAACCCACTTCGCATTTCTCTTCTACGACCTCACTTCCTCGCGCTTCTTCCTCTTCCTTCTACATCCCATCGCCTTAATTGTCCACGTATTGTAAAACTTTCATCTTTCTCAAATTCACCTTCATTCTCGTCACTCTCCGTTATTGTACCCCCCTCGCATCTTCTTAGGGTTTCGGAAATTAGAACCCCAATTCGCAGCGGTGGAGAAGAAAACGATGGAACTTCCACTGAACTGCAGGACTTATCGCCAAACGGTCCTATATATAGGGAAACACTGCAATTGGTTGAGTGCTCCATGTTTGCAGCGCTTACTGGTCTGGTCTACTTCTTGAGCAACTCTCTCGCCATCGAGGTTTGTTAATTTGCATCAGAAAATAGTCTTTCACCAGAAGGTTAATTTAAATATCGACCTGGTGGTTCATTCAATTTGTCGGCACTTTCAAGGTCCATTTGGCTATGCATAGGAAATAAAACTATATATATATATATAGAGAGAGAGAGAGAGAGAGAGATTGCATAATTGTTATGCTTTTTGTTTAATACTGATAGAATTGTTCGAATTCGCATTATAGATGTTTGTTTCAGGTATGCTTTTATCACTTACTGGCTTTACTTCTTCAATGCAGAATTACTTTAGCTGTTTCTTCTCGTTGCCAATAGTAATCTCCTCAATGAGATGGGGTGTTGATGCTGGAAGAAAAACTCTGGTTATTCCTCCCAGAATGCTCTACATCAATTCTTGACGAGTTGTTGCATTATCAGATTTTTATTATTCTAGTGGTCTTCTCATTGTAGGTGGCAACAACTATGCTTTTGTTGGTCTTGTCTGGTCCAGTTAAAGCTTTAACCTTTTTGGTAAGCTTGTTTTCATCCTTATCATGATCAAATTTCTGGCCAATGAGCAACAGGTCTCTGTTTTCCTAACTTCTTTGAAACCGCTATTCATTTAACATTGAATACCTTTTGTATCAGAAAATGAAAAGCTTAGTTCCTTTAGCTCGAATATTTTATGCTTGTTTTTTTTTAATTTATATGTTGCATACTTTTGTGAAGTTGCCTATGATGATATACTTAACTTCTGAACATATCTTTAATGCAGCTTAGGCATGGCATAGTTGGTTTCACGATGGGTACTTTATGGAGGTATGCCATGTACAGAGCTAACGATGTAATGAAACTTGTCCAAATAAATTGTTGTGATGGCTGTCTAACAATGTGGACTTGTAATCTCAAGTCTTAGTATTTATGTTTTGATGCAATTAAACATGCATCGGTGTCCTTTGATTTCTGCATTAAATGAAATGTCTTATGTTTGAACTGAAGGCGACTGTTATAGTATTCTAAACAGGCAGAAGTTGCAAATGACTTTGTTTTCGGACAAGCCAAGCAATTTATTTACGTTTTCATATGTTGCTTTGGATGGTGATTGATTTCTGAAGTACTCGTTGATCTTGCTGGATTAAATAGCTGGTGCTCAAAACTTAGAATTGTGGATGATTATTTTCTTTTAATGTTGAAATAAGATAGTTATACTATGCTGTAAGACCCTAACTGCTTTCTTTTCTCAATTGTGGATCTGGTCAGGTCAGGAGCAAGCTGGAACCTCTCAATCTTCTTGTGCACAATAGTACTGTTCGTTTCCTTTTGCCTTGAGCATCTTATACCTCGTCCGAGCAAATGTCTTCATTGGTTGGCTCCTCCATTTGTGTTTGTATTAAAATATTGATAATTTTTGCAGGTAAGATCGCTGGGTGCTGTGGGCTTTGTCTTGATTTCATCATTCTTGATAAGAGAAAACATTCTAGCTTTGGTAATCCATCAAGCTGCTACTATGTTTAAATTTTGTATCATATCTTATACAAAAACCACTAACAAATGTATTTTTCCTCTATCTTTTGCTGTTGGTGGGGGAAATGGTTCTTGCAGATTACCATTAACATTCATGCTTCTCTAACTTTCGTGCTCACTGCTTCGGGTGTTAATACGATTCCTTCAATGGACGTGATTTATGCCCTTTTTTCCATTCTGGTATGTTCAGTTTTTGGAAGGGCCTTTCTATTTTTATGTTTCTTTCTTGTCACGAAAAATGCTGAGATGTGCTTCTTCTTTCTCAAGGTTTTGCTCAATAGTGGGTGTTTCATGTTCTTGCTCCACATGCTGTACTCTGTATTCCTTGCCAGACTTGGGATGAAGTCTTCGCTGAGGTTGCCAAGTTGGCTGGAGAGGGCTATATGATGCCTTATCTTTGGCCCTAGGGTTGTTCCCAAACTTGTAATCGGAATGTCTCTCATTTCTCTCCTTATTTTTTTGGGTTTTGAGAATTGAGTTGGCATAGTTTCGAGGTTATGTTATGTTGTCAGTTGTTACAATGACACAAATTAAACAGCAAACTATATAGCTATAAGATTAATCTCATACACAGAAAAGCAATGCTTATTCTTCTGCAACTCTGTCATGCGGTTAATGCAATTTTCAAATGTGCCATTCCATCTTATATTTCTAGATTTTAGAGGAGGGATTTTAAGGTAGACTTGGTTTACCACGGTCCAGTTTCATGATTAGCAAATTAATCCTTTCCTTCAGAATGAACATTCAACATAACTTATGCTTGGAAATCAATTGGACACTTCTTCCCCCAAATAAAGCTACACTCACATTAGAGTACACTTCGGTTAAATCACAGGTTTACAAACACACTAATAGTCTCTTTTACCATGTTGCTGGAAATCTAAATTTCATGCAGAGCGGTGCAACAGAAATTCCACCTATCAATCTAATTGTTAAGCCTAGCATCTAGAAAGCATTGAGACAGACTGAAATGGTCTGAAATAAAGAGGGAAGGCCAAAGAAAACGCCTCTCAAACGCTTCCTCGAGACACGCTGAATCTCCGCTAAATAGAACCAAGCCTTCTTCCGTGTTTTTGTCAGTCCAATAATCTGAAGTTTTCTTGATAGAAGAATATGTTGATATATCCTGATTTTTGATCCGGCCACAATGGCTCAAGCATTTTCATGACCACGGCTCTCCTAGAGCTCGTTTTGTCTTTGTCATGATAAATTACTCTGACGAGCCTTCCTAAAAAGTACGGCATGAGGAGGATCTCGCCTGTTTTGGGGACACTGCACAGAGGAAAATGAATTCGTTCATTTGCTCCATCAGGAAGTATAATACGTTTCTGAGTCCATTCTCGAGTCTCGTAGTCCTCCAGGATCGTCAAGTTCAAACCTCTATCGTCGTATCCAACTAAGGTCAAGCATCCACTCAGCTCAACAAGATCTGGGAATTTCAAATGTGGACGGCAATGCTCTTTGTATTTATACCCATCAGGGATATCGATCTGCCTGAATTGCTCGCTTCTGAGATCAAATGCAAGTATATAAGAAGAGTACTTCCAATGAATTGCACCGTTGACACAAACCCCTCTCTTATCCTCCAAAAACCAGTTCGTCGGACGGATGTGTGTTGCCGTAGCGTTATTAACAAGCTTCCATGAATTAGTAGCATCACCAATGGTAAAGATCTTGAACTCGTGAGAATCATTATATTTCAGCAACCGGAGAACCTTGAATTCATCTCGGATCGGGTCATACCCAAAATGGGTCGAAGCACGAAATTTATCTCTTACGGAGGAATCATCTGGGAGTGTAATAATTTGCCGAGTGGTTGGATTGAATATATGAGCGAAAGCCTTGGAATTAGACGAATTCTTGGGATGCAAGCAGAGCAGGCCATTCACGCATTGAACGTCGACCATGGAAGCGTTAAGATTGGGAATGGTGGCGATGTGGGTGGCCAAAGGAGGGTCAGCTTGCCCTGGGGAGATGGGTGCGGAGAAAACTTGAAGTTCGGAGGTCGCGACAGCGGAGGCGGGGCAGACGAAGAGGAGGTGGCCGGAGGTGGGGTAGAAGGATTGGCGAAGAGCAAGAAAGTGGGGATCGCGGACGATGGAGGGCCAAGATTTGCAGAAGTACCTGCATCGAACTAGAGACACGGTTGGAAGCGGGGGGAGAATGTGATGAAAGAGAACGTCGTCTGGAAGAGAATCCAGAGAATCCATGGAGATCGATCACTGAATTACAGCCTCCGTACGTCGGAATTAAGTAATTTTCTCTCTCTATTCAAAGATCGATACTGATCCACAGCGGCCTTGCTCCTACACTGTCCTTGAAGTTGATCGATCCTCAATTTTTGAGTTTGTTAACCATCTTCTTTTATTTTTCAAGGTGCAGGGGCAAAATGATTAGTTGTCCAGGGGATAACACCATAAGTCGCCACCGACCACAGTTAGATAAGGTTCCATGTTGAAGTAACATATTTATGTGTGTGTTTAAATTATATTAAATAAAAGAAGAAGTTTCAAGAACAACATGGATTTGTTTTTTTTTTTTTTCCCTCGGCACGGAACATGATGCTCATTTGTTGAAATTTTTGTAGTAATTATATTATATTCTTAAAAATACTTTTTAATAATTTTTCTTACACTTATTTAGATAGAGAGAAAATCAAGGAGAAAAATAGAAGGAGAAATTAGCTTCGCCTGTTTAGACAGGAGAGAAAGAGTTGGACGAAGGAAAATGATGTGGATTTTATGCCCGATTTTTTCTTCAGATTTTTTCTTTATTATATATGGAGAAATTGGGGAAGAAAAAGAAATTTCCGTGGTTGCCGCTCCTCTTGCCATGTACATCCTTAAATTCTTCCTCTTCATATTTATTTATTTTTGTTATATTTGAAAAATTATTCACTTTTTATTTTTTATCTTAAAAAATATTTTTATTAAATAATTTGGTTTTAAAATATAATAGTGCTGATATTAGTATAATTTTCCTGTTGCAATATTTAATTTTATTTCACTTTAAATACTATGTATTATGATAAGAATATTTTAGTCATTTAAATATTTGTTCTCTTTTTTTTCCTTTCCTATCTGGGTAAGAAAGATGATAACATTTTCTTTCTTTCTATTTTCTCTTCTCTTAACTTTTCTTCCCATCAGGGTCTGTTTCTTTACTCCAGTTTTCGATATACGCTGAATTTTATTCCACAGAAATTATGTCAAAATGACTTGTTCAAGTCAATATAATAAATTTAATTTGCATTTGTATCATTGATCCTTCTTCCCAGTGCATCAGTTCCAGAACTTGTAGATTTATTATGACATCACACATTAATCTATGTTGTTATTGTTGGATAATGAGCTGTGGACTAATTTCAAGTTAGTTTCAAGACATTCTCCAGAATCCTTAATTAACATCCACATGCAACAAAAACAGAGATAAAAAGAGGATTGGAAAATTTTAGTATTTATTTATTTGTTTATTTTGTCAAGCGGGAAGCATCCACGAAGATATCATGTGTCAACCAATTATTGACGCGTGGTCGCGCACAATATGAAATGTGAGACCCATTCTTTTGACTTTGATCTGTGTGTGGTGACATAAATGGCTCCCTACAACTTATGAATTAAGATCCGCATGACAACAAAACGTACTCGATATGACTTAGAAGGTGTCTGTCTAACTCTAAAAATACTTTTGGAAAATATTTTCTTACAAATTAAGATAAATTTTTTTATATATTTACATTGTATACCGTAAAAATGCTTTTAAAGTCATGATTTTGTATCTACCCAAATGCCATCTTAGTATTGATAATTTAAAATTTATTTTTATAATTTAATGATAATAGAGGAAAAGGACATAGAGACACCCCTCTGCACATTCGTTGAGGGCCAGATCACGACAAGATACTCACCAGCCGGCCATAGCCGATCATCCCCAGCCAATTTTGAAAGTGAGGTACTTTTTTGAATGCGCAATTGTGTTGTTTATAATTTAATGTCTGATTGACAAATTTAGTACTATTCTATCCTAAATATATAAACTAGTTAGTGGTTTTAGTTAATAGTTTTAAATATAAAATCCCAATCTATTTTATCTTTCAAAATTTATATTCTTCCGGTCCTAAATGTAAGACCCTTACTAAAAAGTCTTATATTTAGAACCAGAAGAGTAATATGTTTTAAAAAATATTCCCATAATTCTAAGGTATTTCCACCTAAGTGTTATTTTAATGTACATGATTAAATAATTATAGTCTAAAAAAATCAACATACATTTCTTGTAAATAACTGACTTAACTAATTTTTTTTAATCTTCTCAAATTAATTATCTAACTCCTATATTAAAAACTAGAGACAATATATGATTTATGCAGATTTGTTGCGAGTTTATTTTTACTGAAATGAAATACTACTTTATTAATATAAAATCTAGTTTGAAGTTCAAATTAAACTATAAATTAGATTTTATATTATCAAAGACAGAAAATAGTTTTTTTTTTCATACATAAAATGTATGTACACAAATGACTGGCGCAGAGCAACCCTAACTTTTCACCCTTTTTCAGAACAAACAAAGCTATGACAAAATCATATATAAAAAGAGGACAAAGTCTAAAAAAATTCAGTTGAGAAACATATTAATTTCAAACCAAGTCTAAAAGCACTCTTAACAGCAATAAAGCAAGATGTTAAAGAACTCACATGAGTCAACATTTTACATCAACCCCCCAAAAGAAAATTCCAGAAGTATTGTCAATTTAATATTGCACAGGGTCAGAAAAATGTGCCCCACTAAAACGAAATTCCTAGTGTGATTTATTAGAATTTTTTATATCAACTAAGAAGTTATGCTTACCATAATTTATGAATAATACAAGAACTTGATGCCAAGTTGTAGAATAAGAACTAAAGTGTTCAAAGCTACTGCCAAGCATGAAGCTTTGAAAGCTCACAACACAAAGACATTTTACAATAAATGATTCAATCATTAAGCCCAAAAGTTTTTTTTTTTATAAAAAAAAAGAAATTAAAAAAATGGAATAAACGATTCAGTGATTCAAAACATGAAACCAAGTCGAAGAATTGACAAGTCATTCGTATTCCTGTCCAAAAATAAGAAAATCTATATAATTTTTTTTTCCCTTTGCAATTAAGTCAAAGTTGTTTACTGTTACAGCGATCATCATAAACAATGATTGGTCAAAAATTGAAGGAAAATTCTATAAACTGAAATTCTGCCCGCATTTTTCTGACAGACTTTCCCGCTGAAGTAACTGAAATAGCAATTTAAAGTAACACAAAAAGGCAATAAACAATATGTTCAGCCAACAAAAAATAATAACGAAAAAAGAGAAAAAATTCTGTATAGTTGAAGAAGACATCAGTTCACAATAGAAGACATCTCTTCAAGAACATAAATTATGAATATGACAAGGACATACCTAAAGGAAAACATTGTTAAATCTAAGCTTCTTTCCTTGTTATCCTGGAATCAAGCAAAAGGTCAGATAGTAAGTATCAAAAGCCCATCATCCGCAATGGCTAGATAAATGAAATGAGTAACACTTAACCGCAAGAAGCCACTTAGATTACAGTAATAACATATGATACTAAATCCGATTCTTAATATAAAAGTAAGTGGAAGGTTGGATTTAAACCTAAATATAAGATTTCAATCCATCTTATCTTCCAAATTTATAATTTTTCCCCCTAAATAATTCTATTAATTCTAAAGAGTTCCCACCAACAGGTAGTTTCAACACATGATCAAAGAGGGTAGTTTAGGAAAGTTAATATACATTTGTTACAATTAACCAACTTAACTAATGTCCTTAATATTCCTAAATTAGTTATCTAGCTTTAGTATTAAGGATCGAAAGTAGTATTATTTATGTACAAAAGAGATGAAGTGAAGACAACGTTGAGGGAGGAACAAGTGCCAGAATTTACAAATAGCACATCAGTCTAGTAATGATAATTTACCTGAAACAATATATTCCCAAGGCGGTTGTAATCTCATGAATGACAGATGTCGCAAAGTGCAAGTAAAGAGTCACTGTTAAGAGAAACAGACATCAAGCAAGCAGAGAGCAACGTCAATTAATTTCCCATGTAATCCCCCTCAAATATCAACCAAAACTGAGCCTTACAAAATTTAACTACAAGTTGATTTTTTTTTCTCAGTAAGATGAGTAGCTTTACTTCCCAGGCAGACCACACGTATAAATTATAAATTGGTTCTGAATTGAGACAAGTAATTTGCAAATAATAACATGACAGAATATGCTGGTGTATGTTCTGTGGTGTTGACTCTACAATACGTTTGGGAATTGCCGGATCATTTCAGACCCCAGAGATCTCTTATCCTCTGGCCTATAACTTTTTTATTTTTTTGCCCCACAAAATCTTCTGGGCCTTTTCACTTATTTATTTCTTTTCTCTGATTATAACTACCCAAAAATAAAATAATGTTAACTGCACCTGTGAATGCACAATAACCTAGAAGAACCAGTCTCTCATCCACCAAAGGAACCCTGCCACATAATTTGATGAACTTGTGTGAGGGGACAAAAACAACAAAAAGCAAATAACATAAAGTACATCTATCAATCGAAAGTGCAATAAGACATACCCATCATTCAGCCTTGATGTAAGTGCATTAGCAATAGCGAATGGGAGATACAGCAGGGACTGTACAATGGAAACAATCCTCGAATCAATTATCTCAGTGCAAAGATTTGACAGTGAGTCACATCTAAGAAACCAGGTACTTCGGGTTTTGAACTAAATATTCTCATTTTCAGTTAACCAATGAAGGATGTGCCCCCAATTAAATCATATCTTGAACCGTTAATAGAGTCCTATAAATCAAAATAGATTATTCAGCCAATGATGCATTTCATAGAACCAAGGAAAATAGAGCTAAGATTTTATTTGTAGTCCAAAGCGAGTATAAAACTACAAATGTTGAGTCCTGATGAGGAAGTGCCAAAAACAATTGCCAACATAACACAGAAAAATACCTATGCATGGTTTTTATTGACCTGAAAATTGCTCATAGTTGAATATCAAAAGAAGTGCTATGGAAGCCCCGGAAAAGATAATTCTTCATGTTTACAAATATTCGACATCTAAGGGACATGCATGAGTGGGCAACGACGATTATAAGAACTCCGAGAGCATAGGTATAGGTTGGGTGGTTGAAATAGAAAAATGCATCAAAATTCATTTGTGATTGCAAAATGCCTATTACGATAAAAAGTTTTACCATATAGTTACAAGACTAGCGATGTTACATAATAGAGAACGTTGGGTTTCAAAGGGAGAAGAGTCAAAGGACAAAAAATGTCCCAATGGATGTGTGGTTATAAAAAAAAAAAAATAGTGCCTATAATGATTGTATGAGGAAAACTTGGTGTAACATCCATCAAGGAGGAAATGGTAGAAAATCGATTAAAAGTGATTAGAACATCAACAAAGAATGCCACGACAAGCACACCCACATAAATGCATCATCCTAAATAGTCACTAGTTGTATTATGAGACAATATCCAAAATGGGAAAGTTAACAGCTATGAAAAAAATCTCCAGCATTTAACATAATGAAGCTCAATACCATGCACATTCCAGTTTTTAAGCCCTTGGGTTCATCACATAAGTGGGACAAAATCATCCTTCCCTGCAAAATTAAGCTTACTTCTATGAGCATTGGAGTGAAGAATTAGATTGTCCACAATGGTGGAGCTAAGGGCGGCAGACTATAGTCTGCCCAAGAATTACCAATTTACCACAACACTTATAAGAATATGATGGATAGCGGTAGAGATGAAGAAGCAAGAGGAGAGGAGACAGAGACAGAGAGAGAACGAGAGAGATAGCTGAATAGTGCACTGAATATTACAAAAACTTAGCTTCTGGATACAAGACATGTTCCTTATATAGGCTTCTAACTCTTAAACCTTCTAACGACTCCCATATTACAACTGCCTAACCACCTTATACCTACCTGACAATGTTAATTACAAATTATACACCAGAATACAAATGACTAACAAAATGTCTGCACTGGAATTTTTTATTATTTAACAAACAAAGGGTCCTTAATTTTTTTAGAAATCCAATAAGAATTACTCAAACAAAAGCTCTGTGTGCCCTGATATAACACCACAGCATAAAATCACACTTTCAACGAAGCCGGATGTCATATAGAAAAATAAATAAAAATTGAAATGAAACAACGCATCCTACAGAACAAAATTTTTAGTCAATATCAAGATATGTGGGAAGGTGTCGACAAGACCAAGAAGAGCTTCCAGAAACAAAGGAAAAATGAATTTTGTACAGATTGAAATCTGAAAATAATAAATTATTTATCAAATGGGAACTGAACACGTGGCTTCTGAAACCATTTTAGACCACCGTGCAACAGTACGTGTGAATTGGTTGAGGTGCTCCTTTTTCAGTACTTTAATTTAAATCCGTTCATCCTCCAAACAGCCAATGATTATTTATATACATTTTCACAGCAAGTAACCAGCTAAAACGTTATCTGTATATGACGTAAAAGACAGTAATGCCACAAAAAATCAGGGTGAAATTCTTGAGCGATTATAATTTAATTGAGAAACACAGCTTACCACCAGAAACCCAAAAGCAAGCCCCGTTCCTATAATAACTAAGTGTGGGTAGTTTCCAAGGATGTCTGATGGCGATAAATATTGCCTGCCCACAAATACAGGAAACTGTGTTTACATCTACAACGGAAAAGAACATGCACTTCTGAACAAAAATGGGAACCAACGAAAAAAGAAAGAGCATGACTTAAGTTATACCACAGTAAAACTCCTCCCAAGAGGACAGCGAATGGGTAAAGCTGCACAAAAAGAGAACACATCAACCAGGAAACTAGAATTTGGGAAAATATCCATGACAAAAGGTTTTACCATTGCCAGTGCAAGTGACATGCTTCCATTCCTTGACTTAACTACCTTGTAAACGTTACAGACACTGCACAAAACCAAAGGTTGACATTTCAAGCATGTCACATAGTTAGCGACTGGTAGTGTATACAGAAACATAGGAATGATTTTCAACTCTTTTGGGTAAGTAGAATCATATTGGACATATAACAAGAAGATCCATGTATGTAATGAAAGATGGAGAGATTTTTCATGTTATCTATGAGAACCTGATAGAAGACCTAATGTCATCTATCTTCTGCCTTACTCAACAATTTCAGGCTACTACCATCTCACGAAGTATATGGTACAGAACGGTCTGCCTAAACGTTTTTGACAAATTTACCATTAAACTAGAATGCATGCTTTCGTATGAAAAAAATTGAACTTGTAAAGTAACGCCAGTGCTGAAAAGCTTGAACATTAATATCATCAGATATACGTACTTGAATGTGACTGTTGGTATAACACCGAAAGCTATCATAATAAACAATACAGCTCTGTATGTAGGAATTCCTGAAACCCAGAAGAATCAAACTCATAATTTTACTGAAAGAATTTGCAGAATGACTAGGTTATATGCAGACAAGAACATCAAGACACACAAGAAAGAAAATAAAAGTAATTTGATAGGCCGAGTACAATAGATTCAGAAACATCTTCCTACTGGGAATGCCATAAAAATATGACATTAGTGATAGGAACAACTCTCACTAGTCTCAAAGTAAATGAAAGGCATATTTGAATTTACCATGATAAATTGAAGCATAAGAAACGAGAAAGATTGCACAAAGTCAAGAGCAAACCCCCCCCCCCCAGGGGGGCGGGGGGTAATTTAAGAAGTTCGTTTACGAGTACACTGGAACAGGTTGCGAGAAATTCTAATGGTTTATCAGAGTACCATGTTATTCATAAAGCCTAAGTAACAGTCAAGGATACTTTGCCACCTAAAGTTATGACATTGATTAAATAGGCATATAAAAAATTAGTAACATCATATTTTTTATATAATCCCCCCCCCCAAAAAAAAAGAAAAACAACCCAACTCCCCTGTGCAAATGGTTTGAAACCCAAAAGGCATTTATATGTGATGGCATGCTAGACATATAAATATCATTCGTCTGTTTTATCCTAACAGCTTAAACTTTTGGGGATCACTAGTGTTTGGCAGATAATATAAAGTTATAAACATAGTAAGAATGGATATAAAGTTGCCTCCAAATCACATGAAACAGGGTTGCGAAAGAAATTCCAAAGGATACTACTAAGGAAAAGTGACTATAAGTGAAACTTGGTACAAACAGATAAGTAATCATATACGTAAAGAATAGAGCTCATATCAAAACCTTTAGGTCTCAAAAATAGAGCTCAAATCAAAACCTTTAGGTCTCAAAACTGACCAGTATACCATACAATGAAGGACAGTCTTACCACCAATAAAAGGCACCCAGTTTAGAAAGGGTATAGACTTTCCAAATTGCTGAACCCACCACTCAGCACCTAAAGATCGGGATAGTAAAATAAGTTGATCAAGGGCAGATAGATGAAAAATCACATTGAATGTTACAAAATGCCAAATTAAGAAATAGAACTAGAAAAACAGCATACCCACAGCAGCCGTAAAAAAATGACAGACGTAAATAAGCATAAGACCCTCTGTAGGTCCATTGACAACTGGCAATATGAGTGTGTTTGTGAAATAGCTGCATTCAAAACAACATTCAAAAGAAAATCAATAATGCTAGTGAAAAAATATATACAGAAAAGACAATTGAGAAGAATAAATAAAAAAGGATCATATGCAATCATTTAAAAAAAAAAGTGTGATTTTACAAAGAAAGATATACTAAAGAAAGCATCCATTTAATAATAACAGTATAAACAGGACTATTGGCATATGATATAATATTTTTTTCAAAACCATTAAAAAAGGAACCTCCATTTGAGTATTCCAACTTAGCCAGAAGCACCTAGTTCTGGCAAAAGGGTAGTCAAAACAAAACTCAAGGCACTGCATAAAATTAATGGAGTTTCCTATTTGTTTTAAAACACAGAGAGAGAGAGAGAGAAATCTATGTAATATTTTATCTGGCGTATAACAATAACCACAATAACTTACTGCTCCCATGTTGCACCATAAAATGGAACTGCAGATATTAACCAGAACCAAAAAGTACTTCTTCCACACATAGCAGTGCTCCCAAAAGCCAATGATTCAAACTGATACAAATTTTAATAGATGATCGTCATTATTCTCTTTCAGAGGTTAAAGAATTAAAGATAACAACCAAAACAGCGGACATACTGTACAAGCAAGCGCATCACATCCTGCAACATGGTATAATATATATTCATCACCATCACATTGCATGGATAAAGATAAACAATTAGGAAAAAAAAAATGAAGATGCAAATTCACCATGATCAAACAGCTCCCCCAGTGGGCTGGAAGAATTTGTCCTTCTAGCTTGCTTCCCATCCACAGCATCGAATGTCTAGCATATATTTCCCAAAATATATATATATCAGTAACATAATATGCTAGGAAAATATAGGAAACTCAGTTATCATTTAATAAATTTCACTCATACTGTCATACATGAACTCCTAAAAGTAATGCATAAAATTGACAGAATGGGAAAGTTGAATAAATAAAAATAGCTCAACAATTATAATTACAAATAAAAAATCACAAAAATCCAGTTTGAAAATATAGAATTCTGTTCAGTAAATTCTTCCATAATAAGAAATAGGATGTCAAATCTAAACATGCGTCAAAATCAGATTATTCTAATATACGACAACAGACACACACAACAAAGCCATCAACAATTAAATCCCAGGGTTTCATTAAACTCAAATAAGCACATGAAAACAGCACCGCATGATATTCAAAAAAGCAGATAGCAAATATAAGAAATGAGATCAAGGCAACGAATTAAGAAAAGTAACAAGATTTTATTAGGCTAAAATCAACCCCAAAAAAAAAATGGAGCATATAATACTGCTATATGAGCAATATAAGGACCTAGGCAGACCTGATATAAAAACAGAAGTAGTCCATGAGCGAAATGAACCCATCTTGGTGGAGGTGAGTCCAATTGAGGTGAGTATATCTGCATCAATAGTTAATAAGGAAAACTTAGCATTGTTTGATGATTCACAGTCTCAACTTTCAATACAGCCAATCGCAGGGTCCAAATTTCCTTCCATGAACATCAAAGGTAAAATTCAACTATTCTAACAATGAAATGTTCTATGAAGGCATCCCAAAAAAAAAAAAAAAAAACATGAAATTAACCAGCAACCTTAACAAGACTACATATAAATGATATTCACTCATAACAAATTTCAAGATATTATTTGACAAAAAGAGAAAATAGAAAGTTAGGCATAACAAAAGTGCAAAATTTATCACACTCCTATGAGTGTCAGCATTGTGAAATAGGATAATTGTTAGCTCAGGTCTCACTTACATAGCCAAGCAGTGCAGACACCAGTAAAAACATGAACCCAGTAAGAGTTATCTGTAACCAACAACAAGTGAATTATCAGTGCCAAGGATAAGTTCATGATGTCAAAATAAACAGTTGTGGACTAATGCTACAATGAGAACTCACAAAGACGTACCATATTTGGACTGCAAATCCCAGGTTATCAATATGCCAACAGATGGGGAAAATACAAGAAAAGGGCAGAAGTTAGTGCAATCCAGAACTCATAAACTAAACTGGCACTCAGTAAGGTCTAACCAAAACTACTACCAAAGAGTAAATAAAAATATTGTCTTCTTACATTTGTGTTTGTCTGTGTTTTTATTTGAAAACCAGAACAGATTAAACATGTCTCTAGTCAAAATGAGGAAGTGGAATTTTGGCAAGTTGCAAGCATTTTAGCTCCCAACAACAGATCATATGAACAGAAAGTTATTGGATGTCATTAATTATTAAATCTCACAAATGTTAGGTTATTGTCATTCGCATCCTAATGTTATTAATCTTAGACAACTGGAGAATGAGGATTTAAACAAAAAAGTTCAGTAACAGCCCTTCCAAATACAAATATCTGTCGGTCTATTCTCAGCATGGACTACTCTAACGGCAATAATAACTGCTTGAAGTTCAATAACAGAAACTAAACCCACACTAATTCCTAAATTTTATACACCCGGATCCTAAGGATCTGTTTGGTACAAGAATGGAATAGAATAAAATAAAATAAAAAAGGTGATTTTAAGGATGAAAAATATCCTAGGATCCCAGCTTAGAAAACCACAAAAAGAAAAGGATATTTGATGTTAAATAATTATAATAAAAATATCATAGACATTAAGAAAATTCCTGAAACCAGAGGGGCCCTAAATTAATGAATCATAAATAAGGTTGACGATATACTGATGCTAATTTTCACTTCTGGAATGCATGTTTACGCAAACTGACAACACTATTTGCCAGTATATTACAATAATGTTATATTGAACAATTACAAGGTATTCAATAAAAGAACTTGAGAAAATATGATATAGTATACTGAAAGTGAACAAATATTTATTACTATAAAACAGGCAAGTCATAATAACATTATTTCCAAAGATGGAAGTACTCACGGCATCCATAAAGGGAAGAGAGTAACAAAGCGACTCCAGAACGGCTGGAGAACATATTTAGCGAGGTAGGAATGATCTACACCACTATATTTGTATCTATGCAGAGCTGCCACCCCATGAGCACCAATATAACCCATTATCTCAGACAAACCCTGAAATTCTTTTCCTTCAAAGACCAACTAAGCCTCTACACGACCTGCAGAGCTTTGAAAACGAATAGCTATGGGAATTTGTTTGATATCAATAACAAAAGACTACAGAAAATAAAAATGTATGTTAAAAGACAAATTGAAATAACTTCAGAGATGACAAGCCTGCTACAACACAAACTGATTTATATAAAAACAAAAGGCCAGTACTTTGGTTTGCGTTGAACGTGCACATTTCCCAAACTAAAGAAGATTGGACCCGACCAAATCAAACTATAACGGATCTAGAGGTAGAAAAAGCCAATCTTTATGAAGAATAAGAAATGGGAAACGTACAGATCAGGAAAGCTAACAAGTCTGCAAATCCAACAGAATGAAAGAAAGGGGGGAAAACAAAAAATGCAGAAACAAGTCTCATACCTCTCCGAACCGCAGAGGCGGTGCAGGCCCAGGGAAAATGGCAGAATCGGAACCCTGCAAAGCTGGAGCTAGTAATAATAAAAGGAGAGTGGGTAAACAAACAACACTTGATACTAGCCCTTGTCCTTCTCCTCTGATAGCAACGGCAACCAGGGGAATAAGATATAATTAAACTAAATTACATTGTTACATTAATTAATGAATAATTAATTACCATGAATGGTTTGTCTTTGGCCATTGAATAGCTTATTAGCCTCTTACCTGTGAGAGAGAGAGACCGTTCAAATTAAATCCCGTCTCCTAGACGCCATCTTAATCTCAATTCCACAACGAAGAGAGAAGGGAAGGGGCCTTTGATCTTCCCTTTGAGAACTAACAGTACTACACTTTATACTTTACAGCATCAAAAGTTGCTTTTGAGATTCTATAATGAAAAATTTATTGCAAGTTTTCTTTACAAAAGATTGTTAATTATTAATTATATTAAGAACTATTTGACTAATTTAAAAACTAATTGTATTAGTTATTTATAATAAGTAGGTGTTGTTTTTCTTAAAATATTTTTGCTAAGAACTATCATTATATAAGAACTACATTAAAAAAAAAGATAAATATGAAAGATAAAACGGATTGAAGTCTTATATTTATTATCAAAATAAAAGTTAATTAAACTCTTATATTAAGAACTCGAGAGATTAAGAAATGTGGGACCACAAAATTATTCCCTTAAAAATACTATAAAAAAAAGAATTAACAGATAATATATTAAGTTTTATTTTTTCCTCTTTTTTTTTTTTGAATTGCTTCACCCGGTATCCTGGTCAACCCCTCAGGAAATCACAAACCAGATTAATCCGGGTTGGGAATTGGAGGACCCATATGGGTCTACCACTTGCGCTGCTGCGTGCCCAAAAAATCGAATCCATAATCTTTGGTTAAGTTGGAACAATCCCCTAACTAGTTGATCCAAGCACTCGGTGGTTATTATTTTTTCCTCTTTAACTTAACAAACAACAACTCATGTTTCGCAACCAAAAAAAAAAACAACTCATGACATTTTTCTTTTTTTTTTTTGACCGGAGAACATGACATTTTTCTTGACAATATATAGTTTATCATAATTTTAAAAATAGACTAGTCATATTGAAATAATTTATTTTGTTTATATCATCAATACAAAACAAATGTGGTGGGCTGGTGGCCCAAAAACCCCCTAAACAACTGTGTCATGTATCATATGAGTGCTGGACTATTTTAAAAGCTTTTTTAAGGCAATTATTGAGGTAAATAAACAAAATAAATGTTTATAAATTATTTTAGTTCAAGTATTCAAAAGTTCATACTTCTCTTTCTTCTTCTTTTAAATAGATAAATTTGATCAATATATTAAACGTGTGATCATATTACAATAATAAGAGTTGACTGGATTATTGAGAAGAAAGCCATTGAAAATAATACTACCTCCGATCTTTAATATAAGACCTCATTTGACTTTTATTTTGATCCTAATTATAAGATCATAATCCACTTTGTCTCTTATATTTATGCATTATTTCCCAAGATAGTCCCTCTAATAATAGTAGTTCTAGTCAATAAACTTGATTACCAAAGATATTTTAGGAAAGACAACACATATTTATTACAAATAACTAACTAAACTTATTTTCTTAATCTCCTCAAATTAGTCAACTAGCTCTTATAATTAAGACTGAAGGTAGTAGTCAAAGTCTTTTTTAAAAAAATATACAAAGTTTTTAAAGGCCTTCCCTAAAACAGTAAAACTTGAGTTAATTGATAGATCATAAATATTAAGACCCATTTGGTGATATAATTTACACTGACTCTCATATATAAGACGAGGGAGAATACTTATTTCTTAAACTTTCTTAATTGATATTGAAATTTGTTGTCAATTAGTCTAGCTGGGAGGAAAATGCTCAAAAGTGCTTCATAAAAGAAACGGATATGTTGCTTTCCAATAATTTTTTTTAAACAAAATTCAATGCTATTGAAAATAATGATGATATCATGACAATTTCATATAAAGAAAAAGTTACACAAAATAGCAAAAAGAGGGGAATGTTTTATTTTTAATTTTCATATAATTATGTAATATTTTTAATGTTTAAGGAACAAAAATCTAAACAAAAGAAGCATTAATTTTTACCTAGAAAAAGGGAAGGATTGACAACCGAAAGAGCCATCCATTATACTATTAACAATGAACTGAAAAATGTGATCTTTGAATATGATAAGAAATACTTGGGGGCATGTATTTAGAAAAAATGTCATGGCTTCGTATTGAAAGTTTAACACTACTTCTAATCCTTAATATGAGATATGACTGAAGTGTTAGATATAATATTAAATATAAGACTTTAATCTATTTTGTTTTTCATCTTTTTACAAATTATTCATATTGATTGCAAGAGGTTCTCATTAAAGGACAATTTCAATTATTTCAGCTTTTATATTAAATACTATAGGTAATAATTTGATAAAAGACATATCGAATCATTTTGTATTATGGATCCCCATGGAGTCTAACTTGATAGCTGATTGTTGATTGGCTTGCCAATACTACTCTCAAACTTGTCTGTGTTTTAAGTTTCATATTAGGAAATCTCATAAGAATTGTGGAGTTTATAAGTATAAAATGGTTTTTCTTTTTAACAGGTTAGTCTTTTGAGATAGGCTCTACCTTTGAACTTATACTCATCACATGGGTATTTTCGTTGAGAGCTTGATGTTCACAAAAAAAGCTATCCACGAAGGTTCTGACCTACAGGTCGAGTGAAATGCTGTTGTGTGGAGCCGCTGGAATGTCGGCTCTTAAAGGGGATATATTGTTATAAATCTCGTATTAACAAATTTCACAAATATTATGAAGTTGATAAGTGTAAAAAGCTCTGTTTTATTAGTCTTTTAAGATAGTTTTTCTTTTTGGGCTTGTACTCATCATAATGTGTCCTTTTAATTGGGTTTTTTGTCCACCACCTTTTCTTTTGGAATTGTTCTGTAGGAATGCTGGAATAAGAGTTGGGTTATTTTTGTTACTAAACTTTGTGTATTGTTTTTATATCGATTATAGTTGGTCCCACCCCCCAAAAATTAACTAAATTATATTTGTTTGATATGATAGAATGAATAATAACGGAATGGAATAAGAATGAAAATGCAATGATATTATTTTTAGCTTGGTTTGGTATGTATTCAAATAAAATGTGAATATTTCTTATCATTACATTTGGTAGAATAGAAATATGCAAGAGTGGAAAGACAGACCATCAATTAATCAAATTATTCTAATTAGCAAATATTTTTATAGGTAAATAATTGGCAAATCTGACTTGTCATCTTTTATTCCTTCATAGTTCACACACACATAATATTACTTCCGTTTTTTAATATAAAAGCTAGTTAACTAATTTGAGCAGACTGAGTAAATTTGTTAAGTTAATTATTTGTAATAAATATGTATTGTCTTTCTCAAGATATTCTTACTAATCATGTATTTTAGTTAAAACTACCATTTGATGAACCTTTTAATATATACAAGTACTATAAGGGCTACTTTGAAAAAACTGAATAAATATGAGAGATAAAGTGGATTGGGGTCTTATATTTAAAACCAAATTAAAAACTAAACTAACTTTTATGTTAAAGATCGGAGCTTGTAGTATTTTCCCATGGTATTTGCTAAAGAATCAACAGAAAAAGAAAGGGAGAGGGATACAATTTCTTGTAAGAGAGAATGTGAATTGTGTGACATTGGGTTGGAACCGTGTGCTAATTTAATAAATTATTATTTTTTGGCCAAAAATTTAATAAATTATTAGCTCGAGCTTGTTTGCCCTGTCGTGAAAAGCTATTTTGGCTCAACATATGATGTTTGATATATAACTATGAAGTAACTAACTTTTTATTGGAAAAAAACTATTTTTAAAGTTGAAACCATTTTTTTTATTTTTCTTCAGATTTAAACCTTCTGAAATGACTTTTTAATATATTATATTTAAACAAATTTTTGTCTAATTGAAGCTTTTATAAAAATTTATCCAAGCATAAATTATGTTATGCAAATTAACTTGTCTCAACTTTAACGTGCAAAAGTTATTTGAGATAAAAGTCACTTTTACTAATTGCAATCCGTTCAAACAAAAACATGATTTGATACGGTTATCCCAATTTTAAAGCAGTCAGCTATACATAACTTGAAGGATTTTTAGCAGGAAAAATTCCAATGAGGTTTCAACTTTCAAAGAAAGAAAATAATTATTAAAAATTTTTAATAACAAGTGAGCAGTCATTATTTGTTATACTGAAACTTATTATTACGTGTTGTTTTGTTGCCGTCAGGATTTTTTTAGTAATTATGTCCATTCTCTCGACTACTTATATCTCTGTGGTGTCCTGAAATTTCATTCAAATCCACGTTTTGGGCTTTCTTCAAACCTTTGGAGTTCGGACACAACTTTTAAGCCTACAAATGTTTTAGTTGTGTGTGTGTGTGTGTTTTGTTTTTTTTTTTGGGGTCAGAACAAAGGCTTGACATTTTTAGAGTTGATTATTTGTGTCAGATTAGGATTTGTATAAAATCTGATGTCACTTACTAAGAATTAAATAGCTATAGGGAAACTAGGTCCAGAATTTCCTCAGCATAATTTTTGAAATAAATGAACAACCAATAAAAACAGTTTTCTAGATGAATCTATTTTTTTCATAAAAGACAACAAAAATTCCAATAATTTTCACGCGTTTACATTGCCAGAGACTAAATTTAGGAAGCAATTTTTAAGATTTTACTACCTCCAGTCCTAATTATAAGAGCCAGTTGACTAATTTGAGAAGATTAAGAAAATAAATTGAGTTAGTTATTTGTCCTAAATAGGTGTTGTCTTTCCCAAAATATCCTTACTAATCAAGTGTATTGACTAGAATTCTTATTATTAGAAGGGCTACTTTGGAAAAAAAATGTATAAATATGAGAGACAAAGTGGATTGGGGTTTTATATTTAGGACTAAAATAAAAGTCAAATAGGGTTTTATATTACGGATCGGAGGTAGTATTTTGTAGACATTACTTCTTGTCAATAATTATTTAATACTCGTAA